GCACAGGTGCAACCAAATATTTTTTTTAGTCGCACCACTGAAAAATTTGGTCGCATTTGCGACCAAATTGGTCGCACTCTAGAGCCCTGATTATTGTTGAGTGATGACTAAAAGGCTTGTTGAGAAATGATAGGTATGTGTGGGTGCGAAATGCTGGGTGCTTTTAATTTAAAAAAATGAAAGGACTTAAGTTTGTGTGAGCCAAACAACTTTAACAAGAGCTCAGCAGCACAACAAGCATCGACTTCGTACATCTACTTTTCAAAACAGAGATCTGCCAGCCTTCTACAACTGAGGTTAATAAAAGCCCCATTTACTTTTTTATGAAAAAACACACAAACCAGATGCAGTGCCCCCAGGCATTAGTGTATCCTAAGTAACCATGATAATAAATATTAAATCTTGTTTAAAAATCTTTCTTATATTTATTAATACTAAAATCTCTAAATTTCACACACACTATAACTTTATCTGCCAGCTGTAAACACTGATTGAATCCTAATGGAACAGACCTGAGGGGTGTACTATGAAGTGAGATTAGTGTCTTAGCTATGCTAAGCTTAAAATCAGAGGGGGTTTTTTTGTATCATGAAAGAGGCTCCTTTCTCACCTGGCTAAGTCATAGTGGTAACTTTAACATTTCATTTACAGCATGTTTTACATTAAGTGCATTATAGATTCTCTGTTGGGCAGATCTGTTTTATATATGGAAGTTGTTAAGCCACACCTTACTAAAACCACCACCAAATGAAGTGCACACCACAATATCACCAGGAAGGTGCATAAATTAATTTAGTGATGCCAAAAATGTATAAATGCCATTATAGCTGATCCTAATCTGCTGCTAAGTCTATTTTACACTGCTGGAATTGCAGCTACTAGAAGACAGAACACACACCAATATTACCTGTTCAGTGAATGAAAGTCATTTCACTTTGATCTGTTGACAAATTTCCATGTCTCCTTTATTGGGCTATGGGACAGTAACCTTTAATGTTCAAACGTATCCAGTTTAAAGTTTCAGAAGTCTAATGTGCAGCCAACAGCGTAGAAACAGACAGCAGTGCTGAGAGCGCACGCAGCAATAAAATGATTAACTCGCATTGGAATTGTTTATTTTACTGCTCTGTGCGCTAAAGCGCCAGATTAATGATTTTCTGAAGCATTAATCTCGTCTCTTATTTGCGACAGTTACATTTTACTTTTAGATTTTTTTTATGGGCTTTATAGATTTTTATCATCATCATCTGATAATGTCTCTGCTTGGAATAAGCAGCACTCACAGCGATTATTTTGTGTGGAAGA